CAGGTCCAGGAGATACAGTGCCCTCTTCTGGCCTCCATGGGCACCAGGCACAGATACATGCAGCAAAAACAGTAGCAGAAGGAGAGAGAGCACGAGCAAGGAACTCAGGACCGCGAGGGGTACACCCACACACTGAGACAATGGGGATGTTCTATCGAGAACTCACCAAGGCCAGCTGGCCTGGGTCTGAAAAAGCCTGGGATAAAGCCGGACTCGCTGAACATAGCGGACAATGAGGACTACTGAGAACTCAAGAACAATGGCAATGGGTTTTTGATCCTACTGCACGTACTGGCTTTGTGGGAGCCTAGGCAGTTTGGATGCTCATCTTAGTAGACCTGGATGGAGGTGGGTGGTCCTTGGACTTCCCACAGGGCAGGGAACCCTGATTGCTCTTTGGGCTGACGAGGGAGGGGGACTTGACTGGGGGAGGGGGAGGAAAATGGGAGGCGGTAGCTGGAAAAGACAGAAATCTTTAATAAATAAAAAAATATTTTTAGTTGAAGTAAAATTACATTTCCTTCCCCTCCCTTTCCTTCCTCTAGACCATCCCAAATACCCTTCTTCAAAACCTGCCCATTTTGTTCTCACTCTCAAATTGAAAAATAAAAAAAAAAATAAAGAAAAGCTGGATAGGAACAAGTCAAGCTAAGGCCAGGAATTCATAAGAAAGAATAAACTTCTGCATGATTCATTTGGGAGCTGGATGTCAGGTTTCCAAAAAGCAGAGAGGAAAAGACTAAAAACAAACAGACAAAAACCAACAACATACAAGGGAGTGAACGTTCAGTGAAGTGAGAGAACCAGGGCTATTGATGAAAACAAAGCAAAACAACAAAACTCCCAAAGCAGCAGCAGCAGCAGCAGCAGCAGCAGCAGCAGCAGCAGCAGCAGCAGCAGCAGCAGCAATTAGCACATTACTTTAATGACTGAAAATTTAGGTCCTGGAGTCTGGCTACCAAAATTGAAATTCTGGTTTTGTCACTTGTTGTTTGCATGACTTTGTGCCTGTTTCAGAAGATGCCTGTCATCATCTGTAAATGGAGATGGTTAGTGCTTGCTGAGGGTTTTAAGTGATTAAAAATATGTAGAATATGATAGCTAACACGTGGTTTTGAACACCACATCTTTTCATAATTAACTCTCCTTAAATTTATTTCTCTAAAATTCTTTGCTCCATAGCTTTTCCTTCCTCAAGTTTGTTGCCTGACTTAATAAAAGACAAAACTGAAAATAAACAAGATCCAGGATGCTCTTCTAATTTGAAATGAAGGTAAGAGTACATTATTTTGAGTATAGCCATCACCTAGAATAGATCATCTATTAAAATGTATTTATTAGTTTCTTGACATTTAAGTCTGACTTGGAAAAGTGTATTTTGTGTAGGAGAATTGCCCACATGCCACGTTGAATTTTCATCTGAAACTCTCAAATCGCATACTCCTGTCTGAGAGGGGCAGATTGTACAACACTGTGATGCTGGTGGTTTTGGCCACCACCAGATGGAGGAAAAGAGGCTGCGGGACCAACATGGCAAGCAGGTGTCAATGAATAGTGCCCCCCCATCCTTTTAACTTCTTTTGTTTACACTTATTTCGCCCTCTGCATGAGCTAGCTGCAGTTAATTTAGAGTGGAATTTCCTTGCTTTTGCATGTTTGGCTCTTTCATTTCATGGACTGTCCCTTTGATCATGGCTGCCTGAATTCACTCATTGAGAAAGCTTCAGAAATGCACTATGATTCAACCCTGTGGTAACAGAAGAGACTCACTGATTTTAGAGGGATCAGAAGAGACACCTTTGGGTATCCCACTGGACTTGACTTCATTGCGCCTAGCAAACCTTTTGACTTTTGACTTGGGAAACTGTCTTTCCCAAGAAGCCAGCAATGAGTTGATAAAAGTAGACTCTACCTTGACATTCACACCTTAGGAGCAGGTCTGACTTTCCTCACCAAGATCTGCCTTTCCCTTCGACTCTTTAGAAAAGAGGAGGGAAAATAACGAGCCTCCTTGCCAGCCATTAAAAGAGCATCAAAGTGACTCAAACTGATTTGAACAACTCGGTCTCTCTCCTGATGGATAGCTAGCATTCAGTTTCAGTCATGCATCTTTCTCCTCAAGAGACACATCTGTACCTGTCTGTTCAGTCTGTGCTCTCCCATGAGGAATCCTGTTGATGGCGAGAATGTACCCATCTGCGGTGGTGACTTCATACTCTTCACTGGGGTAGCCGTTGTAGGTGATGATTTCACTCTGTCGTAGACATAGAGTTATTGGCAGCTCCTCGTCTCAGGAGACATCATAAAGACCTAGACATTGTGACTAACAAGTTTATGTGCATGGATTATACGAAATCTATAGCTGTAGGTAGCTGTAAAAGTAAATTTATTATGTGAGGTCTTCATAAAAATAAACAAAATGCAAGAAGGTATCTACTAAAATATTGGGGGTTGATATTTAGCATTGACCTATCTGACTAGAATACATTTCCTTGTTATTTGTCTTTTGAATTTCCTTTTGGCTTTGAAAATGGTAAAATTACATGCCACAAGAATGCTATCTTGAATTATCCAAATGTCTTTAAAGGTATGAATTTAAAAGGGTGATTGACAAATACAAAAGACATGACACGTTCTGCTCCTTAGAGCTAGAAAATATCAGCTATTAAGTCAAAGAAGTCGATTTCCCAGTCTGACACTTGAAAAAAATGTTACAAACTGTTTATATCATCCAAGCGTTTTGCTATAGCCGGGATGGGCCTTTTATGATCCTACCACCCAGCAGTCCCTTTTATCTAAAGCTGTTTGAACTTACGGCATTCATCCACACTTCAGGATTCACGTCATTGTCAGAATCCGAGAGTCCACTATCACTTAAAGTTCCACGTATCAAACAGGCTGTTGTTAAGAATAACCACCTCATAGGCATGCCTGGCACAAAACAATTAATGTTTACAGGTTAATCTTATCCATCTATGTTGATGATTAAAATTAAAATAATACCATATTGAAAATTCAAATGACAGCAGAGGAAGCTGGTGCTTTATGGGAGAAGCAGACACAGCGAAAGTTACTTGGAATATTAGTCATCTCATGGAGTGAACTTAACCCAATCTGGAGGCCTTTCAAATTTTAATTAAGGTATTTTTATGACCTTGTCTGTATTCAGCTGTTAGCTCAGAAGACAAGTTTTGACATCGCAGCAAATTAAACAGTGGATTTGTCTCTATCCTTGCCTTTCGTCCCACAAGGCACACGGGAACAATGAACAGATGGAGTTTCCACTAAGACATCAAACTCGCAGTCGGTTTCTAGAGAAGTGACACTTTCCCACGCACATTTCCCAAAGTCCAGCCTGGCACATCTCCACGTGGAGCCATACTCCATCGCCCTGGTTCAAAGAATCATATCTTCAAAGACAGGCATCATGTGAGCGAGTGAGCTCACCTCCTGGCCGCTGCTAAAATCGCCCAGCCTGTACTTGAAGCTCAGCTTTTCCCCAAACAAGCTTTTGACTGTGGGTAAGGGCACTAATCTCTATATGCCTTAGTTTTTTTTTTTTTTCATTTTTGGTGTGTGTGTATCTTTAAGATAATAATATGATGACTTTTTTCATAGTATGACATGATGACTAAGGGATACAACACACATGACGCCTGCAATGTATATTCCTTAGAACAGTTTCTATTATTTTTCTTATTGTTAGAACAAGCAAAAGGCTGACCAGAAATCCATTACTACATCCAATTAATGTCTAAATTTTGAAAGCATAGTTTATTTTATAGCCTCTTACACATGTTACATTTTCTTTAAAATCCTATCTATAGATAATATATAAAACTTAAAAATTGAAACTAACAATAGTATCTGTTGAAAACTCTGAAGACACAGACTTCAATGTTTAAGCTATGTTACTTAAATATAGAAAAGCTTCATAAATGCGCTACTGATAATATCCTCACAAATATTAAAACAAAGGCTCAGAGACACTTAGGATCTGCCCAAGGTCACTCAGAACCAACAGGTGACAGGCCTAGGGTGGGCATGCAGACAGCCTCACTACAGGACCCTTGCACCTGTGGCCACTCTCATCTGCCTCCTGGTTGTGGCGAATCTCCATCTTACCTCGTTAGGTGAGCTTCACCTGTCCAGAGGACTTCTGTACTTTTGCTTTTGACATCAGGCTGAAGAGTGAGATATGGCTGCAGTGACAGTTAGAAGCTAGAGAAGTGACAAACAGGAAGCTGGTGGAAATGAGGAAACCCTGGACTATGACACGCCCTAGGCGGCTCCCCAGCACACCAAATGCATGATGCACTTGTAGATTGGGAAATAGTGGTCTACATGATGCCAAATAACCAGTTGGGCTGAGTCTCACTGATGCTTGCACTTAGTGCCTGTCACTCTGGAGAGAAATCAGCAACATTTTTCATTCCAGTGCTCCACGTGGGGAAGCAGAATGAGCTCAGAATCCTATTGGACAAAATCAGAGATAACAGGATCTCCCCTCCCAACCCTACAGCATCATGATAAGGATCCACAGAAACAATGAATGAAAATATTGGCGTCAGCTGTGGAGTATGCAGGAAAACATGTAACTATGAGTCAGTTGAGATGCAATCCAATTCTTGACATAAGACCAGGGGGAGTGTGGTAGAGGAAACTAACCCACAAACCAAAGGACTTTGACCTAGAGTAAACTTTGGCAGCAATCAATTTGAGTGTGGCTCTATAAAACATTTAGCTTCTTCCTTAAAGAGTAGAGACGAACGTCTAAAGTGAAGACAGTTTAACTCTAAATTCCATATGAGAAACACAAAATGGAGATTTGTGTTCTACAACCTTCTGCCTTCCGTAAGTCTCCAGAAACTATGCTGCCGATGCAGTGTGGCATTTCTGTTTAGTTTTAGCCTGAAATTCTTTCAGAAATGAAGCTGTTATCCCAATTTGTCCAAATCCTAGGCTCCATTTCAGTTGAATGAGGAGTTTCATGCCAATTACATCAATGTGGAGTGAAAGGTGAGCCTCAGCTGGTTGGAATAAGAAGAACTTGATAACAACTCCACATTCATTCAGGCTTTGGTAACGGATTCAAACATGTTTTGTTCTGATGGACAGCATAATGGCAGAGATAAAAACACTTGTTCGGAACGGCTCATAGCTTTGGACCACTAAACGACACCTCCGGCAAACTTTTATAGACTTTTTGGAAAGTTCTAGGAAGCACAATATTGTTCTTATTAGTGTTGATTTGTTGTCGTGGGTTTGAATACAAATAGCATTACTATAATTATGTTCCTCAAGATTTTGTAGATTAATTACTAGTTTATGTGTCCCAAAGGTTTTCTGTTTTCACTTATATTTTAATAATCTGAAGAATTCTTCTTGTTGTTTTGCTTGCACAGAAACAAAATTATGTCAAATAAACGAAGACAATATTTTGATAACAATTTATCACCCTTCTTACATAAGCTTGCTTTAAAAATAAGTATTTAATATTTAATTGAATATTATATATGCTATGTAGCAGTGCTTATGGTATTTCCTATAAATATTAATGTAACAATGAGTACTATGTAATAGTAATTATAGTTAATTCAGTCATCACATTAGTCTTGATTAAAATGAACTGAAGTGAAACATCTTCCTAAACCTTATGAATCATAAAACAGCAGCTAACCTCTGATCTCTAGAAGTTTATTTTTTTTTCCTCTACAACTAGATGATATTAGAGCTGGAAAGTAACTGTAGATAAAAATTTAAATCAAGGGGCAATATTTAGGAAAAAAGTACGTAGTATTTCTGGTATCTCCATCAAAGAATCCTGTCATAGCCCAGCAAACTGTTTAAGAAACACTGCCCATTTATTTATCAAAACAGCTCAAAACGTGCATCTTGGACCAATAATGACATTTGTCCTAACAAAATATGCCTCTTTTTTTTGTTGTTGTTGCTTGATTGTTTTCTTTCACACCAAAGCCTTTGTTTCTTTTCTCTTTTGAGAGGGGAATCTTGCTGGCCTCAAATTCATGGTAAGCATACCTCTGCTTAAAGACTTTTTTGAATATATTACTTTTTCTCAAAGGGTCATAGTTCTGTCTTGGTTATAGCTCAAAGTCAATAGCTTAAGTATCGTTCACATAACACAATAGAAAGTAATGGGCCTTTTGAAAACTTAAATATGAAATATTTTTGAGGCAAATTTTCTCTCGAGTAAGACTTCATATGATCATACTCCATTTTGTGGATTTGGTTTTAATTCCTCTATTGTTAGGTAATTTATCTAATTTACTTTGTATACTCAAAATCAGATAGGGCTCAATAGTAGCATAGATATGCATAAATGTGCATGTATATGCATGCAAATGCTTGATCAAAACACTTTGGTTAGTGGAAAAATACTTTACATGTTAGAATTTCATTTCTCCATTCTTTATATATAGAAAAAATTGGTAATGCTCATTTATTATTAATTAAAAGATTATTTCTAGACTTCCTTATAAAATGACACGTTTTTAAAATATTAGTGACAATGAACCTGTTTTTTTTACCATAAACTACACACATCTTCAAAAATAGTACAGCTATGATAAAGAGACATCATAAAGAATGTAAGTAATAACCAGATTAATCAAAAATAATGAAAACATTAAAGCTTTTTAAGAGACCATAGCATAATCTACTTGTACACATTTTCATCCCCATATATATGGTCCAAAATAAAACTCACATTTATAGAAGAGTTAGGGTCAAAATGTCAATGGCTGACTTTGGTAATGCCAGTCTTAGTAGGTGTTAAGCTCAGGATTATGTTTATGGCAAAGGTCAAAGCTTTTTGAGAGGAAGAGCCATCCTCCTCCTCCAAGCAGGTTCATCTACCTACTTTGCTTAATGCATACAGTTTATGTATGGCATTCGCTATAGCTCATCAGTGTTTGCATTTTCGTAGGTGGTGTATTCAAATGGAGGCTCCCCCTCATCCAAGCACAGAGAATCTTTGACCAGGAATTTTCATTGGATATAGTTTTGTTTACAGTCTCACCCTGTTTGGTGATTTATATAATGCAACTGATATATGCAGAGAGATAACACTAGTTTCTGTTACATGTTTCCATCTTTTTCAAATTCATGTTTTATTTTTAAAAATGACTGCGAAACTACCCTGCAGTGTCCTTAGCATCCCTGGAAATAAGTTTTTTCAGGGTCAGATTGCCTATTTTATCTTTCCACAACCTCCAACACCATCAAAACTCTGTGTATTGAGTAAGTGAATGAATGAAAGAGTCTAAAAGACCAGAAAAGGAGGGTTAATGAATATCAGTAAAATAGATTATGATTTATTGAATATTACTATGAGACAAGTATCTTACTTTCATAGTCTACCAACTTGGCCATACATTTTCCTGAATCTTTCTGCTTTTAAACATTTCAGTGAAAACCTTTCTAACATTATCTAGTATTTAACTGGAGAAGGGAAATTTATAGTCAAAATAAACCAATCATATTATATGTTTTAGCCAATTAACATTATTTTAATAAGTTGCATCAACTACTACTGCAATGAATGACAACTACTTGATAGTATCTGTTTGCCTGCAGCTCATCTCTGAAGTGCCCTGCTAACTAGTGACTGCACTGAAAATGTCTGACTTTCCAAGCACTTCGCACTCTTATGGGAAAAAGATAAATATAGATCTTTTGATAGTTTTATTTTTCCAAATAATAAATGAGCCTTCTAGCCTATGCTCTGCAGTTCTTATGCATTCGGCTGCATGACTCAGCATGTGTACATATACAGCCATTTCTCGGAGAGTGACACAGCTCATATCGGGATGTGTTCCTTTGATAAGCTGTGCACACCAAAAATGGAACCTCTCTGTGAAGCATTTGGTGCCTGACCAGCCAGCCTTTTCTTGCCAAAATTGTATCTTATTTATGAGGACACATTTGTGGTTCCCTTATTTATGTCAAGAGATTCTTGAGAAATGAGTATTTGTTGCCGATGTACTAATTACAGGTCATAAAATTCCCCAGCTCCCATGGAACTCAACAGTAGGACACTCTAGCTTAATTATGTATATTGACTGTTGACTTTATACCTAGGTGATAGGGAATGTAATTGAGTTACAGGACACACATAACATGCCAGCCAAGAAGTAGGGCTTCCATATAAGTTTCATAGGAAGTTGACAACCTTTACCCTCCTTTTTCCTCTCTCTCTCTCTTTTGACTTTATTGTAATGAAAGTATTCATCTTGTCTGGAAAGGTCATTATATAAATGCTTAAATTTCTTAAATACCATCAAAATTTATGCTTATAATGTATACATTTTTCCTTTTCTTCGTTGAAAATGGATTTTTCACCTGATAATGTATCCTGATTACGCTTTTCCCTCTATTCCTCTCAGCTCTTCGCACCCCTCCCATCCAGACGCATGCCTTTTCTGTCTCTCAGAACACAAGGAGCTTTAAAGGATTAGGATAATACAATCTAACAATACATTACAATATAACACAATTAAACAAAAACTAACACATTGGAATTGGACACCACAAGCAAGATTTCCAAGAGTGTGACATTGTCTAGGTACAGGTAAGGAACATTAGGTGTGAAGATAAGGCAACAGCATTATTGTATAGGATATGATCTCTGAAAATGGAAGGTTCTGCTCTTCAGAGCAGTGAGGGAGCATTCCACTGAGGTTTAGACACCTGTCCAGTGATGCAGATTGCAGCTTCATCGAGGGGACACACACTGCATTGAGGGGAGATGACAGCTTTGCCTTAGGCGCTGTGGCTGCAAAATACTATCATGATTTTCCTGTTTTAGAGATGTCAGATGAATACCACCAAGCTGGCATACCTGGGCCTGCTCCCTGTCAACCTGGCATGACTCAGAATTTGGGTATCTTACTTTACATATGTGTGACGTGGTGGTTTTTTTTTTTTTTTTTTTTTTTTTTTTTTTTTTGGTATATATCTTCGTCCTGGCAATACCCATTCCTTTCCCAGCCTCCGTTTTCGGTTTGGCCACACCCTTTCCAGCTACCTCTTGTGACATTTGGTTAATGTCTCTATTGGCTATGAATCTATCCTTTCTGCTCTTGCTCACTGTTCTGATTCTCTGAGGTTTTCTAACAACCAAGAGCTCTGAACTTCTCTACCTAGGGCAGTATTTTCTGGCTTCCTCATACTGAGAGACAATGCTAGGAAGTATTAAGAGCCTGGGCTTTGGGTTCTCATAAGTTTTGATTTCAGAACTAGATTTGATGTAGATTCTTACATGTTAAAATTAATTGATATAATCTTGTATTGGGATCATAAGTGATAAGCATATAGTTATTTTAAGTGCTATTCAATATTATTTTATTACAGTTTTTGGAACTTTTGATCAGCTATTGGAATCAATGCAGAGAATAAAGGCAAACCCCATACTTTACCTATCTTACCTCTTATCTCTATCCAGAGACACTCCTAAAAGCATCATGTTAGTTTTAAATATTAATGACTTAACTTTCAGGAGTTGTATTAGTGCCTGGTCTGAGATTATATAGATACAGCACAATTAAGAGGTGTCTGACTCCCTAAGCCATTCATAAGGAAGGGTCATGGTAGACTGAAAAACTGGCCAAATGGTATATTTTTTTCTCTTCTAGAAGCAGCTGGATCACATATCCCTGACATGTAATTCAAAGTCAACTTTAAAACACTGAGTTGCAGTGATTGGTGACAATGTTGATACTGTGCCATGAGACGCCAATTGAAAACATTTTTGTTGTTTCTATTGAGACAGAATTTTACTATGCAGCCCCGGTTGGCTTCAACTCATGGCGCAGCCTGGGTTAGCCTCAGGTTTGCAGCCATCTTTCTGATTCATTCTGTCAAACGTTGGGACTGTTAGCATGTGCCACCAAAACAAGCCTGAAAATAAGTTATTAATCAAAGAAGAATTTTCTTAAGATACGACAATGGAAATAGAATCATCAAACTTGAGGGACTGGAGAGCTGACTGTGGTTAAAGTGCTTGCCGCTCTTCCAGAGGGTCCAAGTTCAAGTCCCAGCACTTACATCAGTAGGTTATAACTGCCTAAAATTCCAGCTCCAGGAGAGCTGGACACCTTCTTCTGGTGACTCCACTGGCTCATATACATATGGCACACATACTCTCTCTCACATACATTACAGAAATAAAAAGAAATCTTTAAAAAAATACCTACTTGATTGATAAATGTGAGATCATAATTTATTTAACTGAAATTCATTTGGCTTAATGTACATTGTGGATGAGACACTTAGGTGAAAAAAAGCTAGGAATACAAACTTGCTTCAGTAATTGGTCAGGACACCAGAGTAAAAGAACATCTTTTGCC